ATCGAGTAAAGATGCTTCTCTATAGCAGTATGGGAACATTCCATTTCTCTGCCAGTTCCCTTGTCGTTTGACGAGAATTTTCGTACAAAAGTTGGTTTAAACGCTCTGCATCGAACTCAACTGGACGGTCAGAACGAGGGGCGCTTTGAAGCTAAGATTACCATTTTTAAACTTGGCATACCAATCACGAGCGGTTCTTTCATCTATTCTCTCCATCCACAGCACAGGCGTCTCGGGCGGCTTTTGCGGCCTTTCAACCTTGATTAAAAGCAAAAAGAAGGCGGTGTCGAAAATGCTCATTTTTCCTAACTTGACATCCCATTTTAATGATCTGAATATAAACAGAAATTAAATTAACTCGAAGAAAAAAAAAAAAGAAGAAAATCCCAAAATGATTCCAAAATAGAATTCTCGAAAAAAATAGATTCCATTTTTTTTTAAATTTTGGAATGAATTTTAGATCGATTCCAAAATTTAAAAATTTTAGAATCTATTTTAGATCGATTCCAAAATTTAAAAAAAGGCGGGAACTTAGTTGCCAACCCAATATTATTCTTTTGTCTTCGGCAGCGTTTTCGGAGTTTTCTTCACTCTTAGTAAAGCCCTTGCGTCTTAGAGGCTTTATCCTCTTTCTTGGAGGTGGGAGGAATGACTGCAGAGAGGATCAGTGAGATAGAAGACTATGGGTATTATTTGATCTTACTGGATTCAAATATTGCTCGCATTGTGTCAGTTATTTTCGGAGCGGTAAAACTTTACATGATATCTGTCCTCCTGTATGGCAGTGAATGCTGGACGATCTCCCCCAAAAGGAAGAGGAGACTTGAAGCAACGTGTGAGCAACGACGAAACTTTGTAGAAAATTGAAGCAAAAACGAAACTAATACTTAACATCAGGAAGAAACAGTTGAGACTTCTGGGGCACCTAACGAGGAAGTAGGGCTTGGAGAATCTGATACTCACAGGACAGATAGACGGCAAGAGAGATAGAAGAAAACAAGGCATAACGTAATGAGCTTCAGTATATTGATGACGGAACAAGATTTAGTAGAAATATCAAAACTACAAAGTTTATTAAGAGGTAGAAGGGACAGGAAGTAGTGGAGAATCATGATCGATACACCCTGAGGGGACACGGCACATAAAGAAGATGAAGATGATGAAGAAGAAGAATCTCAAGGACACATGGCATAGTGGATAAAGGCGTTATTTAGATCCAATGACAGGTCCCAACGAGTGTGAGTTCAATACCTGGTTAAGGCGGTGGAGAACTTGGAGAGGGGAATTAACAGGAGATAACTGATAACTGACATCCATTAGACATGGCACGTAGAACTAGAACAGTCACCCCCAGCGAGCGAGATAAAGGGTGCAGTTCGATATTCCAACGACCTGAAGAAGGCAGGAGCGTACAACGGCCGAAACGTTGTGATAAATATGACAACAGAGAACAATAGTCCGAATAATGTAAATAGTGTACATAATACCTCATCTCAGAAATATAGACAGATACAGAAGAATCTATGTAGTAGCATTAACTTCCTGATTTAGAACAATTTTTATGCCAGTCGTCCATCCTTTTGATTGGTTTGTAAGATGTATTAATCATTACACTATTTATTTCAGGGAGATGAAAACAGCCTTCTGTGAAAGTTGGTATAACAGTAAAAATACCAATGGTGGTGAGTTTGATCATCCTATGTTAATCTATCAACTTGGCCTTGTGCCAAACTCAAGCATCCGAAGTACTTTGGCGTATGCCATACATTATGGGTTATTGTTGAGCAATAAAACATACGTACTGCTATTGTCGTGTGAGTATGATCAATCTCTTCTTTCAGAATAATTCATCACTAGATAACCAGCTACCAGTGTCATGTGCTACATCAAGATAATACACATAAAGGCGTCTATAAAATATACAGCAAAACTGTCCTCCAGGCTACTTCGTAAATGAATGAGTTTGTTTGTAACTGCGCGCCCTGTTAGTTTAGTCTGGTACAAAGATAAAGTAAGCTTAGCAAACAAAGTCAATTTTGGTAGATTAATGGATGAACCAATGTGAGAAATATCCCCACTCACAATGGCCGTGTGACTGGCACACTTTCCATCGCTTAACAACAGGTACCAAAGTCATGCTAGAAACAATTCGCCTATAAAATTGTCTTAATTAACATAAGAAAAGCGCCCCTGTCTTAAATAATTAGTAAGATAATCTTACAAACCATTACTTGCTCATTGTGTTCACCTTCTGATCACTTGTAGACGCTAGTTTTGACTTCGTGCCAGGTTTGCCTTGGTCTATGGAAATCAATGATCTGATTAAAAGAAGTATAAACATGATTTTAAAGAGGAGTGTTTGAGAAGATTTTAACGAACGAATACAAACGACTTAACGTGTTAATATGATCTCAGGTGACTAAACGCGAAATAAACATTAACATTTAAATAACAGAACTCACAGTGCAACAAGCTGGTAGCTATTTTTAAAGTTAAAAGCGAAATTGTTTAAAATATTGGCAGCAAAAAAAAAAAAAAAAAAAAAAAAAACAAAGAAAAAAAAAGAAGAATCCGAAGATTCCAAATATTCCGGACAAATTCCTCGAGTATCATAGTGCGGGATGCATAAAGAAATAAAAAACGGAAAGGGGGAGCCGAGTTCAATTAGATAGGAATTGTAGAGTAATGGATAGCGGCTCGGATTGAGGAATCGGAGAGCCGAGTTCGAATTCCAGCCGAATCCATTAGATTCACTTAGATGCTAATACCCTTGGGAAAGGTATGAATCCTCTTCTCCTTCTCCCCCATAGTAATGGGTAAATAGCAGGACAGACCCGCTTCTATAGCCTTGGTTGGCAACTAGTCTACCGAAGAATGAAATGGCAACCTACTGCGGGAAAAAATCTACCTCGTCAGTCATGTATCGAAAGATAGCTGATCGCCTAAGCGTGTATCACATGGTGCATAACTGAGGTAGGTTCATGTACCACCCGGTTCACACCCTCCTAGTCTCTTGAAGAGGAGTAGAGGTGTGTTTCTTGTCTCGGAATGTTTACCAATGAGTTTCTGGTTCATTTTTAAAGTTTTCTCATTCTCATTCCCCTCTCAGTTGCCCTCTTGCGTCTTAGTAGCATTATCGCCTTGCTTGAGGTGAATTGGTGATTTTCTAAGCGTAGCTTAGATGTGGTACAAGGCCGACAGTATGATGTACCCAATGAGGATCCAACTCCCTACAAAGTCATAACTGATCTAGCGAGACAACCTTGCTATTACACCACGTACCTGTGCTTGGGGGTAAGTAAGAAAAAAACGCACGGGGCGGCAAGTGGAAACCGTTGCATTACTTTTCCTAGAAAGTCAATCGCAAGTAAGAAATAAACACAACCTGTGGAGAGCTATGATCTCCTATGTCCTCAGGAGATGTGGCTCTTGAAACAAATTAGAACAATTTAATCATGGCTGATATAGATGCTGATTTCCACTTGGGGACAGCGATTGGTGTTCGATTCCATGTAACTGCTGGTATCTCGAAAGCCGATTTTCAGGGCTTGCAATTCCTGCTAATTAGTAGACTGAAGCTACAGAGTCTACATAATAAAATTTCACCAATTTGAATTTTGCACTTTTTTACTCATCTGAGTAAATGTTTTGTTGATCCTGTGTTAATCACATGGGGGTATTTTGTTACTTCGAAATTTTTAAAGTACTCATAATTCCTAACTGGCAACTTGTTTCTTTTGCTCCCTCGCATTACTCTCCTGACTCATTGAGGGTGTGTAGCATGTGGTGCGGTGCAGTAGTAGTTTAGTTGTTATAAGAGGCAGGTGCCAGGTGACTATCCATTTTTGGAAATCCAAGGTGACTAATGCAGTGTTAATATAAAAAGGCAGTGTTTTGACAATGTTTAGGTTAAGAATAAAATACTGCAAACTTGATTGATATAGCAATAGTACGGGTATAATATCTGGTATCGTTTCATACAGGTATAATATCTGGTATCGTTTAGTACAGGTGTAATATCTGATATCGTTTAGTACAGGTATAATATCTGATATCTTTTAATACAAGTATAATATCTGATATCGTTTAATGCAAGTATAATATGTGATATCGTTTAGTTTAGGTATAATATCTGGTATCGTTTAGTACAGGTATAATATCTGCTGTCGTTTAATACAGGTACAATATCTGATATCGTTTAATACAGGTATAATACCCGATATCGTTTAATACAGGCATAATATCTGGTATCGTTTAGTACAGGTATAATATCTGATATTGTTGATTTGTCGGATTGAAGATTTTGCAACATTTGCTTATATTATGTTGAATAAGAAAATCAAATCCATAAGCTAGAAGCCTTATTTCACCTTAATACTGCGTTAATCACATGAGATGTTTTGTTACCCGAACATTTTAAAGTACCCGTAATTCCTCGTTAGCAACTTGTTTCTTTTGCTTCCTCCCACTACTCCTCTGACTCAGTGAGGGTGTGTATGTAGCATACGGTGTAGCGCAATTGTGGGTCAGTTGTTGGGGGAAGCGGACGCCAGAGGACGATCTGTTTTTTGGAGATCCGTTGTAGCTAACGCAGGATTAAGCATAGTTTAGTAACTCTCCAGATATTTCAGCGAATAATTGTCTGACATAAAATATATATATATATATATATATATATATATATATATATATATATATATATATATATATATATAAAAAAAAAAAATGTTTCTACACCAAGCAAACTAATTTACATGGCTGTAGCTTTAATTTTGCGTGTGGGGAGTTGTAAGCATATTTTTTTTAAAAATAATATTGATTTAATAATACAAGTCTTACTAATTAATCCATAGATGGGGTGGAGGCAAGAAGTAGATGCATACTTTTCCCACGGTTATTTGGGCGTAAGTGAATATAACGAACCTAACTGAAATCTGAACTCGGCTCTCTGATTTCCAATTCCCATCCGTTATCCATTACACCACCCGCACACCCAAGCTTATAACACTTGGTATTCCCAAGTGGTTACCAGTCTAAGCACTGACAAGGTTCGACATTGCTTAACTTCGGTGATCGTACGAGAACCGATGTTTCTATCGTAATATGGCCGTAAGTCGATGGTTAAAAGCACGTACGGCAAATCGAGTTAAAAGATTTAAACTGAAGCGGATTCAGCTCGCTTAGTTTTCATGCCCTTAAGAAAGAATTGAATCCAATTTTTCCCAGAGCAATGCTTCAGTTCCTCGATGAACTCTCCTGCTACCGGCACGAAATAACCCAGTAAAATCTGTTGAATCGTGTTGAGAAAGGAAATTGGCACCGCCAAGTAATCACCATTGCTACAGGAAATGTCATAACTGATTCAGTATGCTACCCTGAATCGGGGAGCTGAGTTCGAATTCCACTCGAATCCATTCCATTCCCTTACATGCTAATACCCTTAGAAAAGGTATGAATCCTCTTCTTCTCTATCCAGCTATGGGTAAATAGCAGGACAGACCGGGTTCTATAGACAAGGATGGCAACTAGTCTACCGCAGAAAGAAATGGCAACCTACTGCGGGAAAAAAAATCTACCTCGTTAATCAAGTATCGAAAGATACATGATCGCCTACACGTGTATCACGCATGGCACATAACTGGCTGCCTGATCTATCTATAGCAAGACAGACCGGGTTCTGTAGCTTTGGATGGAAAATGGTCTACCGCAGAAAGAAATGGCAACCTACTGCGGGAAAAAATCTACCTCGTCAGTCATATATCGAAAGATATATGATCGCCTAAGCGTGGAACATAACTGATGCTACGTTGACAATCTATTAAGTCATCAGTTCTCCGTTTTGCATGTGAATCCTTTCTTTCTTATACTTATCCCTCTCAATATTAATTTTTATAAGTGTACAATAAAACAAAAAAAATAAAAGAAGAAAATCAACTGAGAAAAGATAATTATATTTTCCACATTAAAATGCATTTCCTTTCGAAATATTAATAACGTATTACTCATTAAGAAATAAAGATTTTACAAATGTCTTCATTTTGGGTCGCAACATTTTTATAGCTAGGTATAACTTTTTTTATTATTCAAAGTGGGCCCTAGGAGAAGCAATACAATCTTGTCAACGATACGGTAAAGTATTTATTCCATTATCATAAAAAGCATTTTTACCAAATTGGTGTCGTCCAAATGCATCTAATAATCTGAAAAAGGCAATTATCTATACGGGAAAGACCCAGTGAAAAACTGTGTGTACAGGTTTAATGCATTACCATTAAGATTGGCCTCTTTCTGTTCACCCATTCATGCTATCAACCTTTTATATATTAGCGTATTAGTGTACGAAAATTGCTAATCTTTATTCCGAATCCTCATAAAAATAAAATAAAATATTTCAACTTAACCTGGAAGAACTGCGAAGCTTAAAACTTGATATATAAATGATTGAATTAAGAATGAGAAACACACACTCACAAAAGAAATGAACAAAAATCTATCAAGAAGCTTATATTTCTTTTATTCGTAATTTTAAATATACTTTACTTTTGAGTGATTCATTTAAATTACATGATGTAGGCGATCATTACTCTTCACAACTTCCTCTCCCGTGTAGCTCTTAATAAACTCACTCACACTTTAAGCTCTACTAGTTTTAATCCGTGAAAATTTCACGGATTGCCTATTTGAAATCTCTGAGTCTTAATTCTTCACTTAATGATTGAATAAGTTAAGGAAGCTCATCGCGAGTTCTGTGACAAAAAAAAAAAAAAAATATCCGTAGAAATTCCCCTATCGCATCGTTAAATATTTGAGCTTAAAAATTCTAACAAATTATTGCAATAACATTCATAAATATGAATGCTGATTGTTATTTTAAGAAGTAAGGGAAAACAAATAAAAAGATTTGAAATTGACAACTTTTTCCATTTTACTGAAGCAGATGCTAAACACTTCTATCTTCCCCCCTTTCTTTCATTTTCTTAGTGAAACCAAGTAGCGATACAAGAGAAACTGGATTTATAACGATAACAAAAAACTTGCTATTGCTCGTGAGATTTTTCTAACTAGGTTTTCTATGAATATAGCTGTTATGAATAATCAAGAGTGGTCGCCTTTTGTTTTGTTACTCTTCTCTTTGAGAGAGAGAGAGAGAGAGCTATGTTTGTTTATTGGGACTATAAAAGGACACTATACGCGAACCTGGTATTCTCAGTTGAATAAAGGTTTCTTAAAGCCTACATCTGCGTACTGTTGTCATTACAATAGCATAGTGCAAAAATTGGCCCTATACATGTGATGTATATATGTATATATTGATATGTCCCGGAAAGGGATATATTTGAACGAAGTAGCTAAGTGGTTTTAGCTACTATAACCAAGTAGAATATGGTAGCTGTAATCGACTGGTATGCGTCGTAGTCGCAGGTAAGAAGTGTACATCAATGGCGTAGTCCAATGGGTGTCCTTATAGACTTAGCTTTCAGACTAAGGCTCTTTGACTCTGTCGTACCTACACATCTGTCGTTATTTATGACGGACACCAGTCAATCATATTCCAGTCGGGAGAACACAGGTGTACGCATATTTCTTTATATATATATATATATACATATATATATATATATGTGTGTGTGTATATATATATATGTATGTATGTATGTATGTTTTCTTTTCGAAATTTTAATTTACTTGTGTTTTTGTAAACAGCCGTTTTTATTTCTTGAAAGAGAATTTCTCTCCTTTTTCAGACGAAGAAGCCGACTCTACTTGCATATATTCATCAGTTTGCTGTTTCCATGGCTTCAAAAATATGCTCAAAAGAAACCTTTCTTCAAGTGGTTGGAACGTCGAACTGAATCTTTTATTTCGCTCACTGGGGTAGACTGTTCTAGTTTCACGTTTAATGGATGTCAGCGGAGCGTACAACGGCCGAAACGTTGTAATAAATATGGCAACAAAGATGGGGACAATAATCTGAATAATGTAAATAATGAAACAAGCCAATAACGAGTTTTAGTAAAACTGAAGAATAATCAGGAAGCAAAATGGATTCATAACATAAGTAAATGAAATCCATCTTGAGATAGATTTAATAAAGAACGGAAAGGAAAAGAATGAAATGTGGTGGCAGACTTTGTTAAAAGAAAAACAACACTTAAATTAAAATCAACTGTTTTATGTCCCTCGTGCCTTCCGAACATAGGCGATCATGTCCCTCCACAACTTCTATTTCGTGTGACTTTCTCCCTTTGCTACATTTCCCGCACCCCGTTCGGCTATCCATTCACACAAGCTCGCCAGGTACGTGGCTCGCCGCTTTCCTTGATACGAAAAGAGGAATACAAATTCAGAAGTACCCGTGTTTTATAGATTATGCAAATACGTTCGACAAATACGCCACATAGAACTGTTGAAACTGCTTAGCAACCTTGATATATTTGGGAAGGATATAAGCTTGTATCGCCCGAACAATTACGACTGAGTAGTGAGTTCGATACTCACTGGGTTCCCCCTTACTTTCAGCCTTGTGCTACATCACAATTTGGGAAGGATATTCGAATAATCCGGAATCTATACAATTAGAAAATAAATTCGGAAAATATTTAAAAATAGAAAGGTGTGTAAGACAAGGTTGTGTCTTCTCACCGGACTTATTCAACCTATGCAATGCGGAGATCCTGAGAGAATTAGAAAAATATTTTGTAAAAAAAAAAAAAAAAAAAAGATTGTGGCATGAAGGGGAAGTGGGGAAAGGCTGGTCTTCACTGACTATCCTAGTCCTAGTTAATCACAATCATGACCCATTCATTCAATGCAATATACTCAACCACAAGAACTTGTCCATCACCTTCCAATCCTACATGTACCACAAACTCACAAGAGACCTACAAAACACCCCATGATATAAAAAATTATAATGTTCATATAGTGATTATCTTAGCGCGGCTTAGATGTGGCACAAGGCCGAAAGTATGGGCACCCAGTGAGGACCGAACTCACTACTCAATCGTATTTGTTCTAGCAAGACAAACTTGCTAACCATTACACCATGCCTAGGCGCCCCCGAGAGAATTAGAAATCCTACCATGAATTATTTTTAGCGGCCACGATATTAACATAAGATATGCAAATAAAATGTCCATAGCAGGCACAGAAAGAAAGTTACAAAATTCTTACAGGAGGTAGTGAAGGAAAGCGATAAAAAATGCATTAGAGATCAACTACAAGAAAACAAGATGCATGGTTGTTAGTAAAATGATTATCCAAAGTACAAATTGGATATACCAAAATCAAACAATTACAAAAATGTAAATATCGCGGAGGGTGCGACCCTGGAATCCTAATGCACATTGGGATAACCAACGGTGCCTTCCAAAAGCTAAGCAGAGTATTAAGCGACAGGAAAAAAAAACATCGTCAGAAATAAAGAATAAAAGTACTCAACATCTATCATGTTATATGGCAGTGAATGGAGATGAAGAGACTTGAAGCAACAGAAATGTGGTTCTACAGAAGGATGCTGAGGATACGATAAACCGAACATGTGAGCAACAAAGAAGTTTTAGAGAAAATGAAAACCAAAAAGGAAACTCGTACATTACACCAAGATAAGAGAGTTGAAATTTCTAGGGCACCTAATGAGGAAAGAGTGCTTCGAAAACCTGATATTCACAGAAAAGATTGAAGGCAAGACACAGAGAGGAAAACAATGTGTAACATACTTAGTGAGCTTGAATAAATGGTTTTAGGATGCGATGACAAAATTTATTAAGAGCTACGAAGGATAAGAAATTGTGTAGAGCCATGATCGCCTACGTCCTGGCGGGCACAACACAAAGAAGTCAGAAAAGAGACAGATAATAGTTAACGAATTGGTGGAAAAAAGTAGGAAAATACAATATAGTGAACAGTAGTGGCAAAATAGAAAGAAGCAAGAAAAGAAAGTTACAGACATTAAAGTAGAAGAAGAAAAAAGAGTTAACTCGTGTCATCGTATTTATTTCCAAAACTTTAAGGTCATCTAACTAATGTCAGAGAAAAAAGTAAAATAAACAAATTTTAAAAGCATTTGACCCACATTCCACGGCGAAGCGCTGGCTAGCTCAGCTAATGAGCTTGATCCTTACTTGTTCAATTTGTGCGACTTCGTGTCAAACGACTGTAGCCTGAACTATGTACATTATTTAATATCAGTCCTTGTATTCAGTGATCGAAAGGCAACAATATTAACTTGATTTTTAGATCAAATATATAGGTAGTTAAGCCCTTGCCACTTGGAGTTCGGTTTTTTTTTTCGTCATTTCCCTTCAATTTGACTTTGCGCAGTAACAAGGTTTGTAAACAGAGAGAGAACTTGAGAATTAAAACAAAACAAAAAAGTACAGCACTAGAAATTTAAAAAAAAATGGTGCGAAAAACAAAAGAAAAAAGGGGAGAACAAGAATAGAAAACTATCGGAGAAAGTGAACTCTATCGGAGCAGAGAGAGAGAGACACAGACAGACAGGTAGAGTGAGAAAAAGATTAAATATCTGAGAAGAAGGAAAGAAACTAAATTGTCGATAAAGGTGAAGTGAATAAAATGTCAGAAAAACTTCGGGGTGTTAAGAAAAAATAAAATGAATGAAATGTCATTTGAAAGCCGCACAAGGCAAAAAAAAAAAAATGTCGAAGCCACAAAGTAAAACAAAAGAATTAAATGAAGAGGAAGAAACAAAAAAGAATTTCCCTTCTAAAACAAAATAACTTTATCTGAATAACACAAATATTCCAGAATCACACATAAATAAAAAAATAAAAAAAATAAATAAATAAAAACAAGTATGCAGCTGTGAGTGGGGGCGGTTGGGGAAACAACTGAAAATATCAATTTAAATGAATTTGAGAACACGCACATTGTTCAAAACAAGAAATATTTTTTAAAATACAAGCAGCAGAGAGAAAAGAAAAGAAGACATGAAGGAGGGAAAATCGAGAGAGAGAGAGAAAAAGAATAAAAGAGGGGAGATGAGTGAGGGAAAATATCTTAGAAAGCTAAAAATATAATAATAAAAATAAATAGAATGTTTACGAATGCCTGATAGTGAAATGAGAGATAATTTAGGAAAGCAATGAATCGGAGAGTGAGAAAGAGTGGACGGAAGGGAAAGAATGGACTTGAGAAAATCGAAAAATTAGAAAAAAAAGTAAAGAAATAATTTAAAGAAAAAAAAAATGAAAAATTGAATGGCATTCCGGACAGAAGGGACAAAATAAAACAGACATAATGATGTCGACAGCGAGAGATGGAGAAAACGAGAGGAGGAGAGGAAGAGAGAGAGAGAGAAAACGAAAAAGAGAGAGGAAGGAAGAGAGAGAGAGAGAGAGAAAACGAAAAAGAGAGAGGAAGGAAGAGGGAGAGAGAGAGAGCGAAAACGACAGAGTGGAGGAGAGGAAGGAAGAGAGAGAGAGAGAAAACGAAAAAGAGAGAGGAGGAGAGGAAGGAAAAGAGAGAGAGAGCGAAAACGACAGAGAGTGGAGGAGAGGAAGGAAGAGAGAGAGAGAGAGAGAGAAAACGAAAAAGAGAGAGGAAGGAAGAGAGAGAGAGAACGAAAAAGAGAGAGGAAGGAAGAGAGAGAGAGAGAGAAAAAAAAAAGAGAGAGGAAGGAAGAGAGAGAGAGAACGAAAAGAGAGGAAAAAGAGAGAGAGAAGGAAAAAGAGAGAGAGAGGAAGGAAGAGAGAGAGAGAGTAAACGAAAAAGAGAGAAGTTGCGTAAACTCTTCATCGGATCAAACATTCTTACAAGCGTGATTAAGAATTAGAAAAAAAAATATTCTGATGATGCACACCTGTTATTGAAGTCGGACATTCAACGTTGATGGAGTTTTGTAAAAAGTGAGAGAGAGAAAAAAAAAGCAAGAATAAAATAGAGGTAAAAATCAAAAGACACTGTTAAAATAATAACAGTTGTATTTTTAATGACGAGGTGACGATTTTTTGGGGATTTTTTTTTTGTCAAAGACAGAATTAGAGAAAATGGGAGAGAGAGAAAAAAAAAGCCTATCGGAAAATGACGCCATGAAAGATGAAAATTTAAAAATCTAAGGACGTGATAAAAAGTAGATGGCAAAATTGAAATAGAGAATGGGAAGAAAGCGATAAAGAAACGAAGAATCCACGTAAGCAAGGCCAACTAGACTATAGAATGAAGAGTGAATGGACAAAGGGGAGAACAAAATGAAAAAAAAAAAAAATAAAAAGTTTTAAAAAAGCGAAATTGAAAAATCCAAAAGATATGGAGATAGAATGAATATAAATATGGGTTCAAAGAAGCGGAAATTGCAAAGAGAAGAAAGAGAGAAATAAATCATGGACAGGACGGAAATGGTCACAAACCTGGAATCGTTAATATAGATGGATTTCGAAGAAAGAAAGTGTCAAAGCTGTTGGAAAAAGATAAAGAATAGGTAAGGAGGACATATAAAGAAAGTGCTTTTGGGAAAGGGAAAAAAAGAAATAAAGTTGTAAGAAAGAGGGAAAGAAAATGCAAACAGAAAGTGACGTGTAAAGAATATAAAATAAACGGTAAGAGCTGGAGAAAAAGGCGGCACAAATTAAGTAGAGGTTAGGCGAAAGAGAGATAGGATATGAAAAGAGGATAGAGAAAAAAACAAAACAAATATCGGCTGCAGAAATTGGAGAAAGAGTAAAATTACAAAATACAAAAAAACCAAAAAAAAAAACCGAATACTGAAAATGAATGAAGCTGTTGCATAAAACAAAACCAAAAAATGCAAAAGGAAAAAAAATAGTGGGGAAATATTTTGAGAGGAGCCGAATTCCTAATGTACAGATCGACGGGCTCCGTCGCTTTCCTTGGTGGATTTAAATCTAAAGTCTCCACCGCCTCACCTAAATCTTTTGTGCGTAGATCCAAACAAAATGGAGGAAAAGAGGGATTTTCAGCATCATTTGGGGGGTTTTGAAAAGGGGTATTTGCCGGAAGACAAATTGTTTTGTCAAACACTACCGAACAGTGGTAAAGGAGCGGAAATATTGCTGAGAAGTAAAGAGCTTTTTTTTTTTTTTTTTTTTTTTTAAATATATTTATTTATTCATTATATTAAAAAAAAAAAAAAACACGTAACAACTAAAGCCTGTTAGGCTAAAACATGAAGGGAGGGGGGAATGATTCTGAATGCTTATAATAAGAACAACAGCAAAAAGTTGTCGTGCAGAGGAAATTAAAAAAGAAAATCGTAATTTGGATCTGCACGCCAAGTCGAATGATTCGATAATACATGGGTCCCCATACATGAACATTCTTGCAATTTGAAACGATTTTCTTGATGCCGCTTCGATAGCGACTGTTGCAGATGTTTCTTTAACAAACGCATTCATGTCAAGTGGATTAAATCAAGGTCCGATTTTGGGGCGGTGGGGAGTTGAAACTCAATGGAAATATCTTACGAGATCTGGAAGTAATACACAGGAATGTAATTTCTAAATTGTTCGTATCTGAGCATTATAACTAATACTTGTTCATTTAAAAGCGATTTACTAAGCGTAGCTTAGATGTGGCATGAGAGTGAAAGTATGAGGCGCCAAGTAAGGATCGAACTCACTTCTCAGTCGTAATCTAGCGAGCCGTTACATCACATCGAAGCACCCTCGCCTCACTGAATAGTTTGAATATGGCTCTTTATTTTTATATATTTGTTGAATTCATATTTTATCCGTATGCAAGAGTTTCTACCGGAATGGGTTCTGGATTATTCTAATATCCTTTCTCAAATATGTAAAGGTTAACAGTTCGATGATACTATAGCGTGAGGTCTACCTCAATATGTTGTGTCCCTCCCTTCATGTGGCTATCAGGTCAGGTGAGGGCCAACATGGATATTTATATCTGTCACACATATTCTAAACACGTGAAATGGAGGTGAGTAGACCTCACCGCTAGGTTTCTTTGGAGCCATGACTGAGGATTAATGAAGAGAAAAAATGGCACAGTACAATAAAATTGAAAAAGAAAAGCACAGCACAACACAGGAATATATACAACACGGCGGTCGACAAAGAAATGATTCCGTTCGGGTTAACTCAGTTCGGCTCCGTTCGGCTTAGTTCGGCTTCGTTCGGCAATGTTGTTCGAGAACCAAAATTTTGTTCGATAATCGAGGCATTTTCATCTCGAATTTTCTGTTCGAAAACCGATTTGTTCGACATGTGAGACGTTCGAGAAACGAGGAATTGGTTGGTGTATTTAATACTGACAACTCTTGCCTCGATTACTTGTTATTCTAGTATGATTTTTTTTAATTACTCCACCCCAAGCAAGGCGATAACGCCACAAAGACACAGGGTGTGGGCACTGAAAGTGAAAGAGAAGACTTTAGAAGGAACCGGAAGCCCATCCCTAAGCAAGAAGCAAGGGATAAACCTCTACTCCTGTTCAAAAGACGCGAAAGCAGTATGGATCAATAGATAGGCGAAATCATCTATATGTTCAAGATAGCAATTTAAGATTACGTTGCGTTCAGTGATGAACGTGCAGATAGTATAAAGGTTATCCGCACTGAAATTACATTTGGTGGATTCAAATTCTGGCCTTGTCTATTGCACACCGATGCATCTTTCAACCCCCCCATCTATGAACTGTATAGTGTTTAATAGTTCTAACTTAAGAGAAATACAACTGAAATTGCTAGTTGTTGCCGTAAGTCCTATGCTAATAGTTTCTTCCCTCGCACTTCTCATTTGTGGAATTCTCTTCCACTTTTCTGCTTTCTTCTCAACTGCGATTGTCAAAAATTTAAATGCAATATCAATCGTCATCATCTGTCTCCTAGAAGCCTCCTCTTTTATTGTCTTATGTTTTTTTCATTCTCAGTAACTGTTTGCATCATAGTGGCTTTATTGCCTTGCTTGGCGTGGAATGATTAAAAAGAAGAAACACTGAATTCAAAGCCGTAAAAAAATCAAAAGAAAAGTATTTCAATGGCCTCTTACGTTCACTTCGCATTAATAGAGTAAAAAATCCATGGCCCCGTTTCTTCTTCCTTCTCCCCAGTTATATATTAAATAGTACGGTTTAATGGCATCTCCAAATAGAGTGGAAAATAATCTAGAAGTTCTATTCTGAATTCAGATCAGTGGAGAAAGCAATGCGAAACCATCACTCACTGTTTTTCTCAAGAAGTCAATAAAAAAAGGATATTGTGAAGAGCCACAATCGTCTACGTTTTGAAGGGATAAGGAATTAAAAAATGAAAAAAGAATGAACAGAAATAACACCTTTTATTCTACTTGAAACGTTTTTGACACCAATTTAGATATATTTTTTTAATCATTTCACCCCAAGCAAGACGATGATGCCACTAAGATGCCCGGGGTTACTGAGCGTTAAAAAGAATAAGACTTTAGTGAGGAGAAAGGAGAATAAATGAACAAGAATTAAGACAGAAGATAGTGATATACGTAGAATTTAAATTTTGGAAGATTGGAGGTGGCAGGAAAGAAACGGGAGAAAGTTCCACAGGCGAGAAGTGCGAGAAAAGAAACTACGCTTACATCCGTCTATTTCAACAGTAAAACAATGAGACCTAGTTGCCAATCTAGTAGTACGTTTGAATTCAGGCGGTCGAGGTATCAAGGAGAAGAGCTCATTAGAACAATTATCATTAACATATTTCTAGAAAAGACAGAGGGAAACCACGTGACGTTGGTGACCGATGTCGAGAGGACTGGTGTCATTACTCATCCTTCATTGGATTATGTCAAGAATCCCTAGAAATATATCAGGTGCACCGGTGCAGATATAGCAGCAATATTCAATGCACGGACGAATGGTAGATTTATAAATGTGCAAGATGCATTCTAGCGTGGAAAATGTTCTTTCATAGCAACATGCCTAACATCGCAAGTGCAGAAAAATATGGCATTTTCTTGGTGAGGTTAACACCATTTTCGAAATATGTATCGTAATGTGAAAATAACTTTAACGGAACCAGTCACGTACGAAAGAGTAAAATTGAATTTGCTCCTGATTTCTTTTTTCTTTTTGTGTTTTGTTTTGTTTTGTTAATGTTCACTCATTACAAGGCCCAAGACTCAGTCAAGGTAGAGGGTTAAAGTGTGGCCTGTTTGTGCTGTAATCTTTTGAACATGTCCAGCTGAAACTACTAGAAACAGGAAAAGATTAGCTTTAAGGCTCAAAGTGAGATATCCTTACATCGTCTTGTCCTACGAATTACAAGACAAACAGAGTTAGAAGGCGTTCCTGTGCAAGTACCTCACATTATAATCTAATTTCAAGCGAAAGCATTGACCTTGTAAAAGAGGATTTTCTCTGCATTTAGAAATGACGAGTCGCTTAGGTAACATTTGGCCTAAGAGGCATTTTTGTTCAGTTTACTGAATTCCATTTCAGAATCCCGCATAATATTCTGCTGAGAACATAGGATTAGTTTGCCAAGGTTTAATCCACGGTGCGCGCTTTGGAAATTATATGGAAGCTCATCTAGAAATAAATGTTGATTTTTTTTTTAGTTAGTGCATGTGAAGATAGACATAAGACTTCGTTAGAAACAAAGAAAAGTGTACAGGATTGTTATGTATCTGTCCTCCTATATGGCAGTAGAAGCTGGACAATCTCCTCAAAGATGAAGAAGAGACTTGAATCAACAGAGATGAAGTTCATTATTTACATTATTCGGAATATTGTCCTCGTCTATGTGGCCATATTTATTACATTTCTAAGAACACATGGCACAGTGGATAAAGGCGTCGGTTAGA